GGACAGGGATGGGGATCACAGGACAGGGATGGGGACAGGGGACAGGGATGGGGATCACAGGACAGGGATGGGGATCACAGGACAGGGATGGGGACAGGGGACAGGGATGGGACAGGGGCCTTGGGGACAGTCCCATTCCCCCCTCCATGACCCTCCCCGTCCCCTCCCCCCCCCAGGTGACGAGCAACGGCAGCGCGGGGGGAGGGGACGGGGCCGAGACGCAGCGACAGCACCAACAACCCCCCCCCAACGCCTGGCAGGTCATCAAGGGGGTCCTGTTCAGGTGAGCCCCAAAAAAAGGGGGGGCTGGGGCACCCCAAAGACCCCACGAGGGCATTAGAAGTCCAGGGGGTGACCCCAAAATCCAGGGGGGGACCCCAAAACCATGAGGGGGACACCAAAACCATGAGGGGGACCCCAAAAATCCAAGGGGGGACCCCAAAACCTTGAGGGGGACCCCAAAATCCAGGGGGGTGACCCCAAAACCATGGAGGGGACCCCAAAACCATGAGGGGGACTCCAAAAATCCAGGGGGGGACCCCAAAACCATGGGGGGGGGATGCCAGGACCCTAAAAATCCTGTGGGGTCACACCAGGACCCCAAAAACCCTGGGGGGGGGGGGTGACATCAGGACCCCAAAAACTTTGGGGAAGTCACACTGGGGACCCCAAAACCACAGGGGGTGACCCCAAAACCACAAGGGGTGACCCCAAAACCACAAGGGGTGACCCCAAATCTCCAAGGGGTGACCCCAAAACCACAAGGGGTGACCGCAAATCTCCAAGGGGTGACCCCAAATCTCCAAGGGGTGACCCCAAAACCACAAGGGGTGACCCCAAATCTCCAAGGAGTGACCCCAAAACCCTGAGTGGGCCTTACCAGCACCCCAGAACTCCAGGGGGTGATCCCAAATCTCCAGGGGGTGATCCCAAAACCCCAGGGGTGACCCCAAGGCCCTGTGGGGACGATCCCGACACGGGAGAGTTTTTTTTTTCCGGAGGCTCTTCCCGGTTTTCCGCAGGGTCAGGGTCAGGGTCAGGAGCCGCTCCCGGAGCTGCCCCACCCGCGGGATCCAAAGTCCGGGGGCGGATCCTGGAGAGGGACCTGCCCGGGCTGGGAATGGGATCCGTTCCACGGGAATGGGATCCACAGGGAATGGGATCCATTCCATGGGAATGGGATCCACAGGGAATGGGATCTGTGGGAATGGGATCCACAGGGAATGGAATCCATTCCACGGGAATGGGATCCACAGGGAATGGAATCCGTTCCACGGGAATGGGATCCACGGGAATGGGATCCGTTCCATGGGAATGGGATCCACGGGAATGGGATCCACAGGGAATGGGATCCGTTCCATGGGAATGGGAACCGTGGGAATGGGATCCACAGGGAATGGGATCCATTCCATGGGAATGGGATCCACAGGGAATGGGATCCATTCCATGGGAATGGGATCCATGGGAATGGGATCCACGGGAATGGGATCCACAGGGAATGGGATCCATTCCACGGGAATGGGATCCACGGGAATGGGATCCACAGGGAATGGAATCCACAGGGAAAGGGATCTGTGGGAATGAGATCTGTGGGAATGGGATCCATTCCATGGGAATAGGATCCATTCCATGGGAATGGGATCCACAGGGAATGGGATCCATTCCATGGGAATGGGAACCGTGGGGATGGGATCCACGGGAATGGGATCCACAGGGAATGGGATCCACAGGGAATGGGATCCACGGGAATGGGATCCACAGGGAATGGGATCCATTCCATGGGAATGGGATCCACAGGGAATGGAATCCACAGGGAATGGAATCCATTCCATGGGAATGGGATCCACAGGGAATGGGATCCACAGGGAATGGGATCCACAGGGAATGGAATCCATTCCATGGGAATGGGATCCACGGGAATGGGATCCACAGGGAATGGGATCCACAGGGAATGGGAACCGTGGGAATGGGATCCACAGGGAATGGGATCCATTCCATGGGAATGGGAACCGTGGGAATGGGATCCACAGGAAATGGGATCCATTCCATGGGAATGGGAACCGTGGGAATGGGATCCACAGGGAATGGGATCCACAGGGAATGGGAACCGTGGGAATGGGATCCACAGGGAATGGGATCCATTCCATGGGAATGGGAACCGTGGGAATGGGATCCACAGGAAATGGGATCCATTCCTTGGGAATGGGAACCGTGGGAACGGGATCCGTGTGAATGCGATCCATGGGAATGGGATCCATTCCACCGGAATGGAATCTATTCCATGGGAATGGGATCTGTGGGAATGGGATGCATTTCATGGAAATGGGATGTGTGGGAACGAGATCTACGGAAATGAGATCCAGAGGAATGGGATCCACAGGAAAGGGATCCATAGGGAAGAGTTGCACAGGAATGGATCCATAGGAATGGGATCCAGAGGAATGGCATCCACAGGGATGGGATCCACAGGGAAGGATCAGTGGGAGAGGAATCCATGGGGATGGGATCCCCAGAAATCCATAGGGAAGAGATCCATAGGGATGGGATGCGCAGGGAAAGGACTCATCAGGAAGGATCCACAGGGAAGAAGGATCCATAGGAATGGGATCCACAGGGATGGGATCCAGAGGAATGGGATCCACAGGGAAGAAGGATCCATAGGAATAGGATCCAGAGGAACGGGATCCACAGGGATGGGATCCAGAGGAATGGGATCCAGAGGAACGGGATCCACAGGGAAGAAGGATCCAGAGGAACGGGATCCAGAGGAATGGGATCTACAAGGATAACAGGGTCCAGAGGGGAAGGATTCATTGGGAAGGATCCAGAGGAATGGGATCCACAGGGATGGGATCCACAGGGATGGGATCCAGAGGATCTTCCACAGGGAAGAAGGATCCATAGGAATGGGATCCACAGGGATGGGATCCACAGGGATGGGATCCAGAGGATCTTCCACAGGGAAGAAGGATCCATAGGAATGGGATCCAGAGGAACGGGATCTACAAGGATAATGGGGTCCATAGGGAAGGGATTCATCAGGAAGGATCCAGAGGAATGGGATCCACAGGGAAGAAGGATCCATAGAAATGGGATCCAGAGTAATGGGATCCAGAGGAACGGGATCTCCAAGGATAACAGGGTCCATAGGGAAGGGATTCATCAGGAAGGATCCACAGGGACGGGCTCCAGAGGCACGGGATCCGCAGGGATGGGATCTCCCAAGGGGAGATCCACAGGGAGGGATTCCCTTTGTTTTTTTTTCCCGGCAGGATTTTCATCATCTGGGCCATCAGCTCCTGGTTCCGGAGGGCGCCGGCGCCGCAGGAGCCCAACAGCCCCGGGGGGGCCCCCCGGGCTCCCAGCAGGAACCTCTTCCCCAAGGACACCCTGATGGTAACGCCGGGAACGCCGGGAATGCCGGGAATGCCGGGTCGGGAGAGTTCCCCTCCTTGCTCCCCCCCCCGGGGATGTGCGCTCCGGTTTTCCTGGGGTTTGGGGGCTGTTTTCCCTGATTTCCCCAATTCCTGGGGCTGTTTTCCCTGATTTCCCTGATTCCTGGTGTTGTTTTCCCTGATTTCCCTGATTCCTGGTGTTGCTTTCCATGATTTCCCTGATTCCTGGGGCTGTTTTCCCTGATTTCCCCGATTCCTGGTGCTGTTTTCCCTGATTTCCCCGATTCCTGGTGTTGTTTTCCCTGATTTCCCCAATTCCTGGTGCTGTTTTCCCTGATTTCCCTGATTCCTGAGGCTGTTTTCCATGATTTCCCTGATTCCTGGGGCTGTT